TTTTTTTTTTTCAAACGAAAGCCAATGGCTGTATATAGACAGTATACTCTATATTGTGTGCACAACATAAAACAAAAGATGTATGCCCGTATGCTGTGGTGATACAATTGAAATTTAATGGGCCCCATGCAACTGCTGCTCTGCTTGATGGAGAGAAAGCTAACGGATAAAAAAAATGTTTATGCAAACACCTCACAAGAGGGTTTACATAAGAACTAATGATACAAAATGTCACAACTTACATTTTTCATCTTTTAATAATTTGAGTGATTTGTGCACACAATTCATAGAAAACACATACTTTATATTCCAGGTGTAATAATAAATGTATATGGGATTTTTTTTTTTTTTTAACTGAGACCAGGGTCCACATTAGGGTGTCTAGAGAAGTGTTATTTGTGATATGTAAAATGAGGGGAGAAATAAGAATGCACAGCAGGAACTGGCGCTTTAAGAGATACTCTGAAGAATACAGAGAACAGTGGACAGAGAAAGGGGCTTTTTTGGAAAGTCTTTGCTTTATGAGTCACAAGGAAGAAGCATTTAATGACTGTAGTGAACAACCTGTGAGCTATGATAGAGCACCTAATGGTGTATGCAATTATATGTTCAAAGCCTGCTATTCTTATGTTTTTTCCTTTTATCCCCTTATAGTTGTGCTTGGGCAGAACCGTATGTTTGATGTAATTGTTTTTTATACTTTATGTCCCTTTCTGTTTGCACTGTATGTCTCCAAGCATGTTAAAGGTAAATTCGAACTTACTTTGCTTTTATTTACTTCTGCTTTTTGGTGTATATGCCAAAGGTTACTGCAGGGTCCTTGGTTTGAGGTTTGGGTGTCATTTGCTGTCTCCCTGCTTTCCTGCCTACCCATCCTCTGAAAATAAGGCCTTTAAAATTCCTACAATCGAGAAAGAAAATAAAAAATGACCAGCATGGAATCAAAACTCTACCAGCTCAGTGTGAACAGACACACATTAGAGGATTTTCGATTTAGCTGTTGAAGGATTTTCAGCCAGAGCGAATACACTACGCCTTGGGGAAAAGAGAGTCTTTCCTAAGCTGCTGGACTGGAGTAGCCAGAAAAGTGCGAAACACAAACGAGCTGCCAAGGCAAAGATAGATATGTGTACCTGACTCTGATCCCAGCTCGGATCATCATTTCATATTCTCCAAGAGCCACATCACAAATTGGCAGGAAAAAACAGCCTCAGCGACCTCATCATATGTGCAGAGCTACAGAGCAACCGGTTGACATCGTTAGCTCTGTCTGTTCTCCTATTCCCTACTACTATTTGTCAGGTGCTTTTTACAAACCTGCAAACCTTTGACTATGTCTAGAGGCAAACCTAAAAGAGATGTCAGTCTGCAATGCACTGGGGTCTGAGTTGGGTCAAATCTACGAGGTCGACGGTGGCCTGGACCTGATGTGCTAAGGTGAAAATGTAAATGCCAAAAACCTCCTGCTCTGCTCTGCTCTGCTCTTGTCTCTTTGTGAAAGTCAGTGAACTGTTTTGTCTTTATCGTGCTGTTTTATATTTTTAATGAAAAGAAAGCAAAGCAAAAAAACAATTGTTTAGTGGAGATTGATTAGTATAGAGAGAGTGATTGAAAAACACACACTCACATGCCATCAATGAGAGGAAGAATAAAAACATCCATTAAGGATTTGTAGACAGGCTGTCATCAAGATACTCCCTCCTAACAGCATAACACCCTTTTACACACATGCAATACCAGATTACATGTGTCTGCTTTGGCTGCTTGTATTGATAAACAGCTCGTTTATATAAATATTTTTTCTCCTTCCTGCTCTCAGATCTACAGATATTACACTGATTACTTCAGACCTCTAATAAGGGATAAATTCATGCCACCATCAGTAAAAATGGACATGTAGTATAAGTAAAAACCAGCCTCTCACTTTTCTCTGCACTACTTTAATCTTCCCTCGCTCTCAGAGTGTACAAGTAATGCTGGGCTCTGTGACAAAAGAAGGAAGTAAAATTTATGATTCTCATTACTAAAATGTTCACAGAGCGTTTTGCACCCTTGTGTTTTGAGTCCAGACTCAACATTTGCAGCCAATTCTGGGGTCAATCTGATTTATTTGTTAAACTATAAATTCTCGTTTAAGGCTGTAAACTGTATTTGTTGCTCTCACATCTGCAGAGGCAAACACTGCATGGTGGTGTTGTGACTCAGCAGCATGAAGTCCACTTTAAAAACAAAAGAAAAAAAATCAGGCAGCTGATTCAATGAGTACAGGTCATATTTGTTGCAGAATAAACACGAGATTCACCATGAAATATTCCGATTATTTATAATTGCATTGTTAACGATTTAAAATTAAAACAGACTCAAAATCTTGCCGTGTCTATCACAGTGATCTGTGATTAGTGACAGTTAAAGGGTGCTGTCCACACTGATTGATTTTTTTTTTTAATGTTGATTTATCTCTGAGTGGAGAATAAAGTAGAAAAGGGTGGATCAGTTACTGTGACTCCACTGATCCTGATAAAGCCACGGTGATAATATCAAAGTGCCTTTTTGAGCTTATTTAAACCAAATGATCTCACTTCCTGTCCTGTTACTAGTTTATTTACCAGAGTTCAGATTTAACATCAAGTTGAAATAGTTTGACTTTCTAATAATTTATTTTTAAAAGTAAATTAACAAGTTAGAAGTTAGAAGTTGCAAGATTGATCTTCCAACTCGTACTTCTCTCACTCTGGAGTTGCCAAATACTGATGGTGTAAGAAAAGCTCCAAAATAATTATGGAGGGGGTGAAACTGTTTCTAGATGTTTCTAAGGTCAACAAATATATATGTATCACTTATCATCTTTGATTTTGTGTTTGTCTTGTTCTGTGTGCACTGAGTTACTGATCTAAAAGCTATTTTACTGATGCTTTTATTGTAGTGTCCCTAAAACATCCATCCATCCATCTATCCATCCTCAGCTTATTCAGTTTCCCTGGACAGGTTGCCAGTCTGTCACAGGGTCCCTGAAACAAAGCATCACAAAACTAACTTTTAAATATAGCTACATCACCATAGCAACCATATGTTACATCATCAAAAAAAGGGAAAGGCTGTTATAATATAGAATAGAGCCGACTATGAATCTGCAGAGAGGGAGATAAGAGGAAAAAAATAATAATCCTCTGACTCACCAATGTGATGTTATATAAAATGAATGAGAAGATTGATCTGACACTGGAAGAAAAAGAGTACAGTCTGCTTTTGCTAGGCAGGTGCAGATTGTTAAAATAAAATAATAAAGATGCCATATCTTTACAGCAGCCCATTTATTAGAGTTTCTCTCTTTTTACCATTTTTAGTGGAAGGATATATAGAATTTTTCACCTCACTGTTCATTCAAATTACTTCTTCTTTTTGGTATGGTAAAAAAAAATCTTCATAGAATTTAAAATTACCTCTCAAAGTATTTCATAAATAGAAACTTCTACTCAGATTTCCTGTACTTTCTGGCTACCTTTTGAATCCACTATAACATATCAAATGCTACTATGTTGTCACTGTTGGCTATAATATGTCCTTTTAACTCCATTCTTCTAATACATTGTCACTGATTATGGGGGCAAATTGAGTATTTTAAAAGCCAGTTAAATGTGTTCACTTGTTGGATTCCTGGTGATTGAAGCAATCAGAAGTAGCTCAAGAATCAGTTTGAAATCTTTTTAAACAATTGAGGCAAATTGCTTGTGCTATTAAGAATAAGTATAAGAAGACCTGCAAATAAGACTCCCAGGAAAAATTCATTTTAGAAATAGGTCTATAAATATACCACTTTTTTTTAGTATTTAGCTTTTATGAGTAATACAAGTAAGAAGAAGCAAAGGCTGCCAAAAGAAAGCCCAAAATAAACATTGACGTAGGGGATGATGCACAGCAGCATGGCTGTGTTTTCAGTGCTGTGAATGCACAACAGTGGGTGTTCTGGTTCTTTGTGACTCTGCTGGCTTAATTTACATGCCAGTTTTCTGTGATGCATTTACGTTTTAATCTCTGAAACAATCTGGTGTTGCCTTTTATGTAATCTTTGTGTGTTAAAAGTGTCAGTTCATCTGCATCCTACATCATTGGATTAGAAAGACTGAATGAAAAATCTTTTGGGGAAGACCAGTGTTGGTCAAGTTCCTTTATTATTATTTCTCTAAGAAAGTTATCCCATTACTTTTCTGAGGTAAATAGTTACTTTATTACTTAGTGACTTTTTAAAAACAAAACATAACATAAACTTATTACGCTGTTCCTCTGTCTCTCTTGCTGCATTGAGCATGTGTATGACAAAAGAATTTCCCGCGGGGTAAATAAAAAAAAAAAAAAGTTCTAAAAAAAAAATAGTTTTTCTTATTCTTATTATTCTTAAATACGCAACCTGAATGTGTTATAAATCAATATATCTTTCAGCCGAATTCTATTTTTTTCTGCATTATCCATCATATAAAATTGAATTAAATGAGAAAGTCTCTTTTTAAAGCTTGTTTTAGTTTGAATCTTTTAACTTTATGCACTTCGCATCAAGCAAAAATTAAATTATACGCAACAGTCTTTGACTTGAAGAAATTTGTTTAACATTTTAACCTATTCTCTGCATATTTCAGCATATGAACTAAAACAATGTTTTGTGTTTACACTCAAATAGATGCAAGTACTTGCAAGATGCAAAGATTCAGCGGCACTAAGTACAGTCGTTCTTAAATCTATTTTTACCTGTTTAGCACGAGTGGGGCATGTGGAGGTTTGCCCGGTGCCACAGCAGTCATGTCAGTGGAGGGATCCGGGGGTTTCTCTGTGAATTTCGCATTCCCATGGCAGCGTGCTAGGTGCTTGCTCAGATTTGAAGTTTAATTTTTCGCTGTAGGAAAAGTTTTTTTTTTCCCACGCAGAGTGTACAGCAGACGCTAATGTTTTTGTCACTTTTTTACAGAATCGAACTCAAAGTAAAGTCCGTACTTCGAGCTTTAAACGCTGCATGGTCGTACTCTCCTTCACAATCCATATTATCCATTGTTGATCTACACACGTCTGTTGCTGCCACGGACGCTGCACGCTCGTTCGTCATTATCACACTCCCACAAACATCACAAACAAAATCACGGTTTAGTAATGCGGTAACGTAGCGTGCTTATGGGAAAGTAACAGTAATCTAATTACTTTTTTTGCCATAGTAATCCCTTACTTTACTTAAAAAGTAATCAGATTACAGTAACACATTACTTTTAACACGCTACTGCTCATCTCTGGTGAAGACATGGATCTTGCTGAGAAAGTTGAAATACATTTAACATCACCATGTTGACCAAAACTGCATCTATGACTATTCTCTTAGAGTATCACTACAACTGATTCTTGGATCAGTCCTTTGTAGTGATTTTTTTTAATCCCTCACACCACCTAATTAAAGTCTTGTTTATATATTTTTTTTTTTTACATGTAAGGATAAATATAAGGATATCTTGTTTATCCTCCTATGTCTTTGCATTTAACCCATCCTAATTATTAGGGGCAGTGGGAATCAACTATGCAGCACCCAGGAGACAACTACAAATGCACACCAATTCCTTGGTCAAGGGCAGCATGAGTGGAAAATTAAACCTGTGCAACCACAGGGAGAACATCCACACTCTGACCTCTACCCACTGTGTTTACAGACCGCAGGATTTAACTGGGACTGTGTTAGGACTTCACCAATGGAAAATTCAAACAGCCTCCATATTAGCCTCTATTATTCTTGTTGTTTTAGTTGAACACGAAGCACATTACACTTTTACAGAATTTCTCCTGGTATGGTTTGGCTTTTGGATTCACTATTTTAGCTAAGCGGGATTGGAGGGCTACTTTGCTGACTTGTCATTTATTCCTCATGTGGTGGAAAACTCTCATGTAGAACTGTGGACATCACTGTTTCTCAATTTATAATGTACAAATTCATTCCACAATGTATTTCCCCAAGTCCAGAAACACTTCTGTGTGTAATAAAATGCACTGATAACGACTGATTGATTCACTTTGTCTTCTTTTCTTGTGTGTGTGTTTCCAGGCTGAACCCGAAGCCTCGCGCCAGCATACCAACAAGGTACATTTAAAACTGCTTTAAAGTCACACTTGCCACTTGTCACACCTAATTTCCAGTACTTTAGGGTATAAACATGAGGTGTTATTTATCCTGTTTTTATTCAATTCTATCAACATGTCATTCTCTGTAAATTTGTCCTTCAGTGCAACGTCTTCCAGTCCCACTTCACCACGTTCGCCCTCCTGGCCGATGTTCTCAGCCCCTTCCAGTCCACAGCCAATATCTTCTGCCTCCAGTGACTCCTCCCCTGTCAGGTTAGTGCACAGTATTTATGAAATGACATGATGCTGACTTGCCAGCAATCAGAATGAAACTGCAAACTGTGCTCATTCTAAGAAACCTTAAACTGCAAAAGTCTAGGACTGCATGAAAGTATAAAAGATGGAACTTTTGAAAGATGACAGCAGTTGTCATCAATTATTATTCAGAAAAATATATTTATACAAAATTGTAATATTTGCCCAACTAGTTAAAAAACCTTATCTGAAAGCTTATGGATCTCCATTATTGTAGTTTATTTGATCAACACACTTCCAGCCAGCAGAGCTCAAGAAGCATTGGTGCAGTGGATGTGACTGACCTCTCCTCTTCCCCATGAAACGAGAGAGCTTAAGAGCTAACTCGTCCCTCGGGGTATCACTGCAGTATCTCAAATCAAGGACACGTCAAGCAGCAGTCATTCTAATATGAGCCTCTCTATTGAAACGGCAATAAAAATACGTCTTAATTTGATGCAGTTATTCATCTGAACCTTGGTAGATATATAGTGTCTGTCACTATAGTTCATTTCAGTGCTTAACATTTTAAGCCTTAAGTGTCCTGGTGCTGTTTTAGAAGCTGATAACAGATAGTATTCTTTTCAAGTGCTTTGCACCCTCAAAATATCAGGTCTTTAAAGCTGTGACCTCTAAATGCCTGACTCAGTAGGAGACGGTAGACAGATATAACAATAAATTATATCTGAATGAAAAGGTAAAGTTTACAAGGCAGAAAGAAATGACAAGCTAGAACTTTAAAGACCTACAACACCATGGAATATTACAGTGTCGAAATAAAACCATGTCCAGAGTGTCAAATAATTAAGTAAACATATGCAAACACATCCTCATGTGCGGTTAACACTGACGTACAGCTTATTTTTAAAGACTAATTCAGAGTCATGTCACACAATAAGCAGGTAATGAGCGTATTATTTACCAAACAGAAACGCTGTGGTGGGTTCATTCCTGTCCAGTTTCATATCAAAGACCTGGTTCAGGTTTGAACATGTACAGATCATTTTTTTGTCATTCCTGATATAGAACAAAAAGCTTCATTATCTTTATCTTCAGATCCTCCACACAAGCAAAAGGATAGGGTAGTTCTCACAAGCACTGGGTGCTCCCCCTCAGCAGATTTCTGGACATAGGCCTGTTTCCACAGAGGATCAACTGTAGGGCTGTTAATCCTCTGCTAAGCGTTGCTTTGCATGATGTATAGTCATGCACTAATATTTTATACCTACTCTAAAATCAGGAAAAGGAAAAAGTCCATGTGTGAATTTAACCATCTGATACTTAATAAACAGATCATATAAAGTGAGCAACCTGCCATTTGTGTTAAATTGAGGTACTACTTTGGTGTCTGATTACTGGCTCAGTGTAACTCTCTTTTTATTTCCAGTTTCACGGGCAGAAAAGCTCGAGCTCTGTACGCCTGCAAGGCAGAGCACGACTCTGAGCTGTCCTTCATCGCTGGGACCATCTTTGAGAATGGTGAGTCACAATCTGGACTTGCCAGCAGAAAGGAAAAAGGAAAGAATGTGGGTTGGCGTATAGAAACTATTTGTTGTCAAAACAAAAATCCAGGCTTGGGAATTTGCTTGGCCTTGGTGCTGAGGCTTTCAAAAAATCCTCGACGTTTATCCAAATAGTCAGCCGTCCAAAAATTATATATGATAGGCTTATAGCGCCACTTTCCCTTGACTAGAACTTCTGGAACTTCTTCTTTATGATATGAAGCGAATATGAAGGAGCATAGAGGAATGTACACTGCTAATTCCAGAGACTGAATCCACAGAACATTTGTTTAACATATTTTATCTGGCATCTGGCAATAAAATGTGCTGAGACTTAGGAATCTGGCAAGCAGACAAGCTGCTAAAGCAATACACTGGACTGCATATGTAACAAACAGCAAAGACATACATACTATATATATGAAAGTTACCCAAAGACATACAAACCATGATAAAGGGAAATGTTAAATATTTTCCCCTTTCTTTACTTTCCTATTTACCCACCTTACCAAGGGAAAATAATGGTTGGACACTGCTGCGTAACTAAAATTATTGTCACCGTGTGCAATGATCTAGTGTTCTCGTTTCCTATGAAATGGGTCCTTTGAAGACGGACACCAGGTCTGTGAGCACTCGCTGTCAATTTCTGTCTTCAAAGCACTTTGGTGTGTCAAGTGGGCAGTAAGCTAGAGTTGGTTTGCTGTCAGTTTTTGATTGAATGCAGTCGGCAATTTACTGATAAAACAATGAACTTTAACTGCTTACATTTATAGTTTAGCAAGAACTTCATTAATTTGAAAGGAAATTCTGAAATTTTCCTGGCAACTTACAGCCAAATGATGTAGAAAACTTTGCTTTTATAAGAAAATATAGGCAGAATAAAACTAGCTGACAACCAGCTGAGTCTAGTCCCTCTTCAAAGAGACACAGTGTAGATAAATTATTACCTTCACTCAAAAAAAAAGATTCTTCACCCTCAGTAACCATGAAGCAATAATTTTACGTAAAATCTAACAGAAGTATATAAAAACAAAGGTTTATTCATTCAAATAATTCATTATTAAAGGAAAAGTGCTCGGTATAAACTTAATATATACCACTGGAGTAATTTTCATTTAACTAGACACTGATAAATCTAACATTTTACATTTGTATGTATGTAATAACATTACGTGGAAAATTTAGATGTAATTAAATGAGTTAAAGTCGGCATTTTGAGCATGAATATTTATAAGACTTGCAATCAAAATATTTGCTGCAGCTATTTGCAAACAGACGCCGAATATGAAAAAATTCAATGCAATCACTGAGTAACTACTGATTTTTCCCAACTGGAATGAAGACTGCAATCCATTTTTTATTCTACTGTGAATGAGCCATTAGGACTCTGATTATATAATCTCAGTTTCTTTGTGCAGATCTGGGCTTCCTTATAAATTTAAGAACAATAACTATACTGGGTCTTCTGCTTTGCTGGCTATTATAATTATAGTTGGCCTGAGTAAAGTTTCCTTGTAGACATATACTCCATGTTGGTGGGATGTAGTTTCAAACCCAAACCAAAATAGAATTAACTGCATAAAGACTATTTAGACGTATGTAATGCAGACTCATGTTATCTGAGCCCTTTGGGTCAAAATGTGTCCTTGGGGACATCCAATCCTTAACGTGGTATCTCAGCAATGCAGTCTGCTCACGGCTGGCGAAGGATGAAGCATCCCAGCTGTCCACACGGAGCTCATAATACAACCTCTTAGTGCTTTCTTGACATTTACAAGAATAAAGCAACGGTATAATATTCATTCTACAGGTTTGCTGAATTTAACATTTTCCCCCTACATAAATAATAAGAATCAAATACGTGCAAAGGCTTACATGGTTTCATTTTTCTGTCTTTGATGGAAATGTGGTGCGCAGCTTGGTGCAAATTAGATTCCTGGTGTGGACAAATCTGGTGAACACACAATCTAACCCTATAGCAATGTTGCACTTTCGTATTTATAGGATGTTTAACCACCACAGCAACCCCAAACTAATCTAATTATGTTTCCAATTTAAAACTGCACTGCACTTTTACCAAGCTGTTGGAACAAACCATCAAAAGTGGTATGTTTGTTTTAACAATTTCATTCCTGCATGAATGATTTCACAAGAATGAACTTACATGTTTGTAGGCTCATGTACAGAAAAGAGTTTCCTGTTGCAGGACGCGTGCCTGACGTTTCGGGCTCATACTGTGTTTCATGCTCACAAGTAAACAACAGCCAATCTGTGATGCCAGAGATATCCTCTCCAAAATATTTAGACATTAAACACTCGATGGGGAACATGTGGAAGTGTTAACCATCATCTTAAGCTTGCTTCTCCACCCTCTCACCCTCAGTATGCATAGTGTCTTCACATGTTTATGAACATTTCAGTTCTATGTCAATGCATTTCAACAATATCCATGTTTTCCCCCTTCTGTCTAGTTCATACTTCCAGGGAGCCTGGCTGGTTGGAAGGGACTCTTGATGGGCGAACAGGACTGATACCAGAGAACTATGTTGAGTTTGTATAATTTAACGGCATACATGAACTGGAAGATTGTGGATGGGAGTAGACCAAACTGGATTTTAATGAACTATATTTAACTTCAGAAAACTAAACAGATTGAGGATACAGGCTCAATCACTTCTATTGTACTGGACGGACCAACGCAGATAAGGTGACTTTTTGTTTTGATCAGACTGGATACTGAAACTGGACCAAGCAGAACCATATCCAATAGATATGACACAAAAACAAAGCATACCGAAGTGGGGAGAGAACCCTGAATTGCACTGGGGAATGAAAATATATATAAAAAGACGAGACTGATTTTATTTGATTAGTGTGCGTGGCTTTTAGTCTTGGTGAAGACTATATGGGAACAAACCCAAATTTGTGTGTGTGTGAGCGAAAGAGAGAGAGAACAGTGGGAGGAAGTTAGACAAACTTGTATAAATGATTTGATATTTTTCAGCTGCAATGTGTGTGAGTTTTTTGCTTTTATATTTTGAACTGCACTGTCCCTCACCCCAACCACCTTTTCCACACACTCCTTTTTTTGGTTAGGTATAAATAGGCAACTCTTTCTGCAGAGATGTTGACAGGACATATTAACTTTGGACTTCACCTATTGTAGAATTGATTAGTAATGCCAAATGGGACAGTTAAGCTTTAAAAGTTGACTTAAATGATTGGGTTTGGCTTTATGGCTGTAAATGTGTGAGCACTTGCTGCAGAAGTGCAGTTATTGCCTGGGACAAGACTCAACCTGGCTAATATTTCAGAGCTCCAGTTAAGCATCAGGAGCCCCCGGGCAGGTCAGCACAGGATGAGGTTTCTTTGGAACTAGTTTGCTTAAAGGTCAGCTATGGGTTTCTCTTTATTTCGAATTTTTCCCCTGCAGAGCCCTCGCATAAAATGCGAAAAATTTCAAATAATCCCCACAAGCCGATCAGCAATTTAAAATGCAACAAAGGCAGAACAGCTGATTCCTGTCAGTTAAAACAAGCCCAGCTGTGAGGCATCACGCTGTATGGAGGCATGTATGCACCATTTCAGTCCATTGAGGAAGATTGAATGAACTTGGGAAAAACATGTTTATTTATATCGTCTTGATGCATTCTCTATCATCCAGGAAAATAAATCTCCAAAAGTTGGTTCTGTTCATCTGGACGTAGCGTTTTCTGGGAGAAACGTTTCGTCACTCATCCAAGTGACTGAAGAAGTCACTTGGATGAACAGAATCAACTTTTGGAGAATGTTTATTTATAATATTTTCTTTTAGTTTTAGCCATTATGCAGATTTAGTTACTTGGTTATCTTGGATGCTTAAATCTTGACAGCACGGCGTGACTGAAAAATTGAAATAATTTTGAAAGTCAAGGTATCACACAGTCTTTGTTGTTCCATGCCCTTTATACCTCATCGCTTTACTTTATATTTCAAAAAAAATGTAAAGTTAAGCATCCCTCAAGAGTTGAACATTCATAGTTTCTTCTTTACGCCTAATTTTACCAGGGCTTTCCTGTGTAGGAAACAAGATTACATGATTATCTAATTTAACCATGGCTGACCTATTTGAGTTATTCTTTGATCAAAAATTTACTGGCCAGCCTGTAATTTGTAAATACATTCAGTTCAGATACTTGAAGGGGGAAAAGGTAATAGATTTTTCAGAATTGTTTTTACTTGTGTATAAAAGCTGGTCAGCTTTGTGGCTCCAATGAATGTTGCCATTTTCTTGCTCATTCCTTGAACCACTTGTTAAGAAAAGTTTGTTTTCTTTTTTCCCCACTTTATCCAGTATCCAGTTTATAAATTCAACAGAAAAATCAAATGGGAGAGTAAAAAAAGCTTAAATGTGAAATAAGACTACTTTATTCAAATTGAAATTTTTTATTTATGAGATTACTTAAAGGCTAAATCCTGCACGGCATTCTTTTTGGGGTGTTTTCTTGACTTTGTAAATAAATACACAGTATTTGATAAGGTATACTTTTTTCATTATGAAATTTTATATTTTGTATTTTTAGTATACTAATTTAATTCCTTAATTCCATCTTTGTTGCCCTGATTTTTTGTATCATTTAAATCCTGCAGCCTTAAATATTCTTTCGAATGTTTTTGTGAAAAATGCGCAGAATTAAAGACAAATCTTGAACAGCTGTAGCTTTAAGTTTTCTTTCTAGTTTCCAATCCTGATTCTGAATTTTCTTTTCTGGTTTATTATTAATAATGTATAATTATTCATCCTGTAATCCTTACTTTATATTTAAAAAATGATGCATAAAAACAGCTATTATTGTTTTATCCTTTTTATTCATTTTTATTTTTATTTTATTTTTGTTTAATACGGTTTATTTTCAGTTAGTTTCCAGAGTGGAGTTGTACGTTTAAGTTGAGTTTTTATTGTTTGAATTTTTTTTTTTTTTTTAAATAAGTTTAAATGTTAGATTTAGGCTTTTAACGTATTACTGTATAGAGAGCATACAGAGGCAAGACTTGAGAAAATCAGCATAGGTATAGCAATAAAAGCGCATAACCTTTTGAAGGCAATGTAGACATCCATAGTCTCAATAATCATGTCCATTGATGACTCATCAGGCAAGCTGTAATAACATTTTTACCAAACTAAAAAATATAAAAACTAAAGATATTTCTGTAATATTTTTGTTTTAGGTTGTTTTTAAAGTTAACAAAATAGATTTGTTTTAGTTGACTAGAACAACTTTGATGCGCTACACTAGAATTTGAGTGGATTGGCTCATAGGTAAGCAGAACTATTCTCTCTTGCTAAACAGCACTTTGACACAAGGTTATGCCATCAGTCAGCTGCACTGGACTTCATATTAAGTCACGTTTTTACAGTTTGGATTCCTTTTAACTAAATGTTTAGTGATGTTTATTTAAATTTAGAATCTACTTGTGGTGAGTCATAACTTGCAGCTAAGACGACATGAAAATGTAAGCTTTAAGTTTCAAGCACTCGTGACTGCAGGCTAATTCATTAGCACTTATTAGTTAATTTATAAATGCATTTACATGCTTTCTTTCTCATAAAAGACAAAGAGACTGATACCAGTGCATTACGTATGGGGCTAGCATCAGGAGGCAAATAGCTTACATGTAGTTTAGCTTAGCATAATAGCTATATGACACAGGAAGGATACAGCTGGGCTCTTTTCATATTTAAGAACATAATACAACCCAGTCCATACATAAAAATCAGATTTCTTGCACACATGCTCTAAATGTACACTATATTGCCAAAAGTACTCACTCACCCATCACAATTATTGAACTCAGGTGTTCCAATATCTTCCATGGCCACAGGTGTACAAAATCCAGCCGGTATGCAGACTGCTTCTGGAAACATTTCTGAAAAAATGGGTCGCTCTCAAGAGCTCAGTGACTTCCAGCGTGGTACTGTGAAGGGATGCCACCTGTGGATTATGGTGTGGGGGCATTTGTCAGGATTGGCCCCTTAGTTCCAGTGAAAGGGACTCTTAACGCTTCAGCAAACCAAGACATTTTGAACAACTTCATGTTCTCCACTTTGTGGGAACAGTTTGGGGATTAGGGTGACCCCTTCCTGTTCCAACACAGCTGCACACCAGTGCACAAAGCAAGGTCCATAAAGACGTGGATGAGCAAATTTGGTGTGGAAGAACCTGACTGGCCTGCACAGAGTCCTGACCTCAACCTGACAGAATACCTTGGGGATGAATTAGTGCGGAGACTGCGAGTCAGGACTTCTCGGTCAAAAATAAAACGCACTCCTAAACCATGTGGAAAACCTTCCCAAAGGACTTGAAGATGTTATTGCTGCAAAGCTTGAGCCAACATCATATTAAACCGTGAGGATTAAAAAAGTCACTCCAGGTCAGAGTTGTGTGAAAGCAGATGAGCAAAAACTTTTGGGAATATAGTTTACTTGTATGTTTGGGCTTGTTTTTTTTTTTTTTCTACAAAGAGGTCTGTGCACCTTGTTAGAGCTACGCCATGAAGAATTAAGGTAAATTTAGAAGACAAAAGGGGATCCAGCCTGGAACTAGCAAGGTGTGTCTAATGAAATTACCAGTTTTGCGCCTTTGGACATACCATATATTAAAAACGTAAAATGTAATAATAATAACAATAATAGTTAAAATAACAATAGTAAATAACTTTTTTTTCACAATTTAAAGAATAATAGTGCAAGTTTATATTAATTTCTATAGTTACTTTATACAACTATGCAAGTTTAAACTTCTCCACTAATATTAGGCACAGAAGCCACACTTCATATTCAGGGAATTTTATTGTGAAAGGAAGGAATGGGACGACTTCATTCTGCACATTCATAGAACACAATACACTACACATAAATGTGTGTGTGTGTGTGTTTAATTTAATTAGTTACATAATTTTAAAAAGAAGGAAAAATGCGAAATGAACAAAATAAAAAGAATATAACTGTTTCTTTAATTTTGAAAAAGATAACTCATAAAAATGAACTAATAGCTAAAATATTATTTTTAGTAGTTCTGTAAAAGTCAGGCTAAACATTTTTAACATTATGTATGTCTGATAATATATACAAATTAGCAAGATAAAGTGTGGCCTCAACACAAAGTCTGTTTCCATGTTTGTGTTTTACATGATCAGGAATTGAGCAACCAAAATTGGCACATCGTCCCCCTGAAGGGTCTTATTTATCTATCACATTTTAAGGCTAGTCATGTTGCCAAGCAACCACCATCCAATGGACTAAAATAAACCCTTTGCAATGTTTATGCACCTGGAATAGCTTATAAAAGCATTGTATAATTTTATTTTCATGGCAGAAGTATCTAACTCATAACTTCAAACTTTCATTATGCGTGATATATTACCATGCCATCGGCTTGGCTAGCAACCACTTAACAACAGACTAAAATCTCAGACTTAACAATATCACGGGCATGTACTGGTAACGTAAAAATGTCAGATAATAATGGTTCAATAAATTTAATCCAACACATAAAAGGAATCCGTGGCAGTGAAAGGACATATGCATGTTTTCACGTGTATGTTTATCAAATCATGTTTCCAGTACATGATTCCAGATTGGGCAGTGAGACCTGTTTTGATATATCAAAAGGTTGCTTATTTTCCTTAACTCTGTTCCAAGTCAAAAAAATGAAATCCATGTAGCTGAGTGTTGAAAAACAGGAGACTTTATTGTGTAAGATGCTTTTAACTAAAGAGCAATCAGTTCTTCCAAATTTCCACTCTCGATGTCAAACCCAATGTCAGAGAACGACACATAACTTAATTCAACATTTAATCAAATAGGTGAAACTATTGACACAGACTACAGGAAGTGTAATACAGAAGTAATACAAACTACTGTTTTTTTAATGGTTTGTATTTTTTTTAAACATTGGATTACATTTACATAACTGAAATACGAAGAAAACAGACTTTAGTGAAAGCTATAGCCATATATACCAGTGAAACATGATCTGCCCTTAATCTTTAAAGATAACATTTGCATGTATTTTATACAAAATAGATTATATCAAACAATATCAGGGTAGTGCAATTCTGTCAGGCTCTGGTAAATTTTACTTTCATATGGAGAGTCAACATTTTAAATTTTCTTTTTAAAGTGACCAGTAAATCCTCACAGAACAATACATGGGGTCCAAAGCCACGACCTTTACAAAAGACATCTTTAAAATAAAACAAGAAGTACTAGAAGTTGGATAGTAAGTGCTACTCAAAATGTAACTTGAATACTTCTTTTGTTAATTTTTGTTTTCTCCTCTGCTTTGGTCACTCTTATATAAATCTCCACCAGTCTTTCTCTGTCCCTCTCCCTCATTTCCTTATCTTCAAAAACACAGTGAGCTTTCATGTAGACTTTTTCATGGACTCGTAGAATTTACATTTACTTCACAAGACAAACATGTTCAACACTTCCTTATGGATTTAACACATCTATCTTTATCAAACACAAACCAACAAACAGAAAAATATTTACTTTCTTGACTCATTCAATGTACAAAAACGACTGGGCAAAATTAGTCATATCAAAGAGGATCAAGCCGATGTAATCAAAATCACAGAAAATATCATTTTTACAATAGATCAATCTCTAAAAGCATCGATATATGTTAAGGGTTTATCTATTTCCTGATGTGAAATCTTATTTCTATGGCTCTCTGGCTCCCTTTCGCAAGGCCTTTAATCGAGCATGAAGGTGAAATGCAAAAATGGTTTGTAGTCTTAGATGATGTTTACATTGCACTAGATATGCCAGCATTGCTATATGCGCCTATAGCCATTCAGAAATAAGCATCGATATGGTTACATCTACATGTTAAAGCTGGTTTTCTGAAGCACCACCACCTTGGAACAACTGTAATACCATCTCCAAGTTATCCAAACAAATAGTTTAGTCAGATTTTCTCTAGAATAATCAACACACAGTGATGCGAGCAGCAACAAGCTCATGTTTTTTACAGCACAAGGACACACAGCACAGTTAGAAGGTGGAGCTGAAAGCCTGCACTGTCAATGAAACAACCCTGAAGCGAGTGACCACCCCTAAAAGAAAAAAAAAAAAAGAAGAAAAAAAAGATGGCTCTTATTCAGCAGTGGCTTGTATGCTTCCAGTGCCCACTGTGCTGTTAGCCGTAACTAACATACAAATGACCAGTCTCTATGGCAACCTGCTTACCTGGTCTCTGCTAATTGGCATTCAGAGTTATGTGCAGCAGAGGGGTGAGTACTGTTCAGAGTAAACAGCTGAAAATCTGTACAGTTGAAATTTAGGCAGAGAGGCCTGACAGTCATAAGACACATACGGAGGAAAGTAACTGTACTCTACAGGAGGTGGTGAAGGGCATTTTGTTTTAACACTTCCAGCAGAAGCCAGCATACAACTGCACTGCATTTTGCTTTGGCCATCACACAAGCTGGTATGGATTTTCACATTACAAATGTATTTTGAAAATTCAAAAATACAATTTTTTTTGTTGATCACAAAAAGGTTTATCGTACAATGGGCTAAATGATAACAATCAGTACTTTAAGCTGGTGTAGGTGTGACACTGAACAATCCTTTTTTTTTTTTTTGTAAATAAATGAGCACCCTGAAGCAAAGTTACAACAACCACTTAATGTCGGATCAGAAGTACTCTTTCACATCTCCAGAAAAGAAAAAACCCAAAACAAAACGGGTATTTCCATTACATTAGGAACAAGTAGAGCACATCCATGTGAAGTAATCACTCACTTCCTGAGGTTGGATTCACAAATCAATAGACCAACGTTTTGAGCTTTAGAGGGGAAATGTTTTTAAAACATAGGTTTCATCAATTATGGGTATCCATTTTCACGTCCAGTATACAAAATAAATATTTTATTTTAAACAAATATATTTTTTGTATTTTCACAATGTTGGCACAGCAGCTCCAAGTCCTAAGTCCTGATTTTGCAAGTACATTCAGATAATTGTAATTAAAGGGAAATATTAAATCAAAATGGTATCTTGAAGGAAACCATCAATGTTATGCCTTAATTTCCTATCATAAGTGCTATGTTGCTGCTTTTGAGTCAGTTAAACCTTTTACTTTGAAAAATGAAAAAATGACAACAATCCTAACGGTAGTACCTTTTGGGGTCTGACATATTGACGTTTTTTCTATTGTTTTATGACCTCACACAAATTTTTGAAGAGCAGACAAGCAATACGAACTAGCAAGTCACTCCTACCTCAATTATATTTGGTTAAAGCTGCATTATATGGACAAAAGGTATTTTCAGTCCCATTACCTTAGGCACACAAAATCAAGCACCAAATGCTTTTACAAACTTTTGTGAAAGGAATGAGGGTGGTGTTATAATAGCTGCAAGTGACTGTTGCAACGTGACATGAAATTTCTTCCCTCCTTGATATTCCATCATCAACCGTAAGTGGCTTTATTGCAGAGTGGATGTGTTTAAGAACCAAAGTAACTCAACCATTAAGTGATTTACCACGTTAAGTTACAGAGCGGGATCACGGAGCACTGTAGCATGTAAAAGTCGCTCTGCTGACTCAATAACTGCAGAGTTCCCAACCCACCTCTGGTATTAACATCAGCACAAAAGCTGTGAACCAGGAGCTTCATGGCATGGGTTTCCACGGCTGAAAAGCTCCTGTACAGTAGGTGTAATGTGTATGCGGCCCAGTACTTTTGTCCATATAGTGCATTTACTAAACTACCAACCTCAGTCTGAATGCAGCTGGAAACATAAAGGACGGTTTAACTTCAAGCCAGATTTAATTGACTCATTATGTCACTTTTCAAACAGACAGCAGGCCCTTCGATACTTCGGATGGCTTTTTCAAATGCATTTTGGTTATAAAACACCAAATTGCATTTTCCAAATGCAATTAAAGCATTAAAAAAACTTTTTAAAGATAGAAATCCTAAAATTTAAGTCAGTCTGCTCCCAAGTAGTACAAAACATTAAATGTGTCTTTAATTTGAATTTTAGCAGTACCCATTTAGATAAAAGCAGGCTGAATTCTTAAGCGAGAAAAAAAGCTATTTGTAGGTGCATTCATTGTATATGCTGGGTAAACTTTTAACAGAATTTAATGCTAACTGGGAGAGGCAGCAAATTTATCTAATATACTTCACATGGATAATAAAAGACCAAAAAAATTTGTTTTGGGACTTTTTTTTTTTTTGCAAAGTGATAAAACTGAACATTTAACATTACTTTTCTGTACCATAGGCTGTGTTCCTACATGGAGAACAGGAGATAAGAACAAAAGGGAGAGTTTTCCACATTAAAAACACTGAAATGGCAGCTTGGAAATAGAAAACAGAAATTACAACGCGGAAATAGAGAAACGGACAAATCATGTGGAAAGATGTCGACATCAACTTCTAATGCAAAAAAACCTACAGCTTATAGTGGATGGCTATGAAGAGCGTAAAAACTAAAAGGCACTGGTTTTTCCCTCAGGTACATCCTGTGTAAACATTTGGCTGAGTGAGTGTGTGCGTGTGTGTGTCTTGCTTCTGTATGTGACTTGAATTGTGTGCCTGCATAAAATAAATAGAGAACATGTCTCTAGCTGATTTCTTTTCTCAGTGGTCTTGTGTCGAATTGTGATTTGAATAATTTCTGAAGTTATAAGTAATTCACAGCGGGAGGAACACTAGGCTTGAACTGCTAATCCTAATCCTTTCAAGTTGCAAAGTATACCAGGTGTAATGTTCTTGGAGGAAAAGATGTTTGTACTGTATATGTTAGCTTCTCTGTGAAAACTGCAGTAAAATACTAGAGGCTTGAATTAATATGAGGCACATAGCCATTGTAAGAAAGCATTAAAAATACAAGCACAGGGCTACGGGTGTAGAGTAGGTGAGGGAGGACTGAAAAAAAAAATTGCCCAAAATGCATCCACCCCAAGAGATATTCAGAGTCCAACTAAGAGGAAGGGCTATAGGTCGGTGATAAGATACTATGGCAGGACTAGGACTGGGATGGGGGCTTGAGGCCACAGGTATTGTGCTCCAAGATTAGGCTGAATGACTGAGCCCCGAAGGGGCGTGGCAGAATTTCTAGAAGGCCCAGGAAAAACTGAGAAACTGAATCAGAGCGATGAGGGAGGCAGGATATGCAAGCTAGGGGCCCCTGGAGAGGTAAATGTGCAGGGCAGGATTTAAGGCATTGATTCACAATTTAAGGCAGTCATTTCTGATGAAACAGCAGAGCTTTGACGTTTCCATCTTTGAATTTTGGTATCTGGTTGGAAATGATCTCTGCCAGCATCTCCGGAAATTCCACACTCAGGGTTTTATTCACAAAGGTGTAGAAACAGATCTGGAGAAGACCCTCGACCATCTGGTTAAGACACAAAGAGATTAGTAAGAGTTGTTTACTGACTTTACTTAAAAGGATTGCCCTTAAAGTGGAGTAGGTTCTAAATGCAAGATCTTTACGTCTGCAACAAGTTTTTACAGAGAGGCAGAAGGGGAGAGTGCTAAAAACTAACTTGATTGAAACTTCATGCACTACACAGAATATGAGTGTATTCTTTAGGTGGAAAAGACCTGGCTGGTATTAAAAAAAACAAAGAAAGCCAATCTACGGGATAAATATCAAGAAAATGCTATATGAAACAAAGTAGCGTAAAAACACTTAAACATGTGTGTGTGTTTCACTTGCCTCCTGCATGGAGTCAAGAAGCTTAGTTAGCTGGTAGAAGCGTTGCCAGTTCTGACTAGGGTTCTCCTCTCTCTTGACGATGGCTTTTCCCAGCTCCTTGATATAGGTCATCCTGATCTCATCAAAAACTGCTTGACTCTTCAGGCCATCTTTTGGTACTGCACACACACACAGACAGAGAATACAACACAGAGCGATATATCAGTATCATTTAAAAAAAAATAAAAATAAGATTTTTTCCCATGTTCATTTGAAGCTGGTAAGCTTCAAGGACACTGTTGCTCTGTTAGGCTAGTGGTTAACATAGGAAGGGGTTCTGAAGGTATAAATAAAAAAAACACACACACAATTTATCCTAATCAGGTCTGTGTCTGCTGTTCGTGCGGCAAAAAGAGTTAGGTGAGAAGTTTGGATTCAGACACAAATGATCAACACTCTTCTGGATCAGAGAAGACTGACAACAGAGTATATTTTGCATTTCATCAGGTGCCAAATGTTTTCAGTTGCTTAAAGGTTTGAACTACAGGCAGGCTTTGCTAATATTACTTTTTAACAGCTGATGTTTAGGATTGTCTTGCTCAAATATGCCAGCCTTGCCTGTAAAAGAGGTTATGTGGATGGAATCATATACCCTGAAGCCTGTATACACCTCTCAGTATTGATAGTGCCTGAGGGTCTAATGCACTGAGTTCTGATGACAAACAGGATGGTCTCCAATTTTCCAAAAAGAACTTCAAACCACAGAACAGTTTCCACTTTTCCTCAGTCCATTTTAAATAAACTTTAGTCCTGAGAAGATGACAGCGCTTCTGGATCATGATCACACACATCGCTTCCTCTTTGCATGATGGAGCGTTAACCTGCATTTGCGGATGGCTCAGTGAACTGTATTGACAGACAGCGATTTCTGGAAGTGTTCCTGTGCCCATGCCGTGATTTCCATGACATAATTTAGCCGCTTTTTAATGCAGTGCTGCCTGAGGGGCCAAAGATCAGAGGCATTCAATATTGATTTTTGGCCTTGTCCCTTGCACATGTACTGTAGACAGTGTTGGGAAGGTTACTTTTAAAATGTATTCCATTACAGAATACAGAATACATGCCCCAAAATGTATTCTGTAACGTATTCCGTTA